TGCCGCACGGTTTTTCTCGACTCCGCCCACTTTCCCCGGTTTTTTTTCCCCGATTTTTTCTTTCCCCGGAATTTGTGGGGTCTCCAAAAAAATTGTTTACTATGCAAGCGCGCTCCAACTGCACGTGCGAGAGAGTGAGAGACGCAGAGAAATGGAATTATTGGGAGCTTCCTAAACGGCTTCTGGTGCCAAAATACGATTCTTTTTTCGATTTTTCTAGCAATTTTCTCTAAAATTTCTAGTTTTTTGTAGAAAATCGATAAAAATGGATAATTGGGCCGCCTATCATCAAGCGCAGCCGGCGGAAAATGGTGAGAATTGGAAAATTTTTTTTTAAATACAAAATTTCCGAGAACTTTGAGCTAAATTTCAAAATTCGTGAAAAAAAACGGGTCAAAATAAACCGAAAAGCGAGAAAAATCTTTTTAAAAAGTCGAAAATTCAAACAAAATTTACTGATGTGAGGCTTAGAGAACTTTGTAGTTTGTAGTCTAAGCCTCAGTAAAATTGAAAATGTTTGAAATTTTCGATTTTTTGCTATGAAAAAACTCGAAAAAAGGCAAAACTCGCTAAAAAAACGCTTCAAAATGAGCCGAATTACATCGCTTTGCAATTTTTACTGAGGCTTAGAGAACTTTGTAGTTTGTAGTCTAAATTTTTAAAATTTTTGCAGTCGATTGGGCTCAATTGGCTCAACAATGGATGGCGATGCGAGAATCCGGACGTCCTCCTCAGCAACAACAACAGGATTACGGTCATCAGAATCCACCAGCGCCGTGGCATCAGAATCAAAATCCACGTCATCATCATTTTCAACAAGGACCGCCCGGACCACCGAATTATCATCAGAATACCATGCCACGTCATCAGAATCCTCAAAATTTCCAAAATCAAGATTGGGGAGATTGGTCGAGTAACGACGACCAATGGAATTCGGGACCGCCTCAGGGACCGCCGCCGCCACGTGGCATTGCTCAGCATAATTTCCAAGATTTTCGGGCCAACCAAGGCCCGCCTCCTCCACAAGACACGTGGCGAGGCCATGGTCAATTTTCAGGCCGGCCTGGCCCCCCTCCAGGCTGGTCAGGTCCGAATCCCGGCTATGCAGGCCCTCCGGGACCTCCAATAGGTCATTCTGGACCGAATCAGAGCTTTTCCCGGCCTCCGGGACCACCAAATCCAGGCTTCTCAGGCCCTCCAAGAGCTCCACAAGCCCCGCCTCCTCCGCCCCGCCCACTTTTCGCCGCAGCCGCAGCTTCTGAAGAGGCGCCACCAACGTTTTTTGGGGATTCTAGGCCACCGCAGGCGAATCCTAGGCCGCCACCACCACCCCAGCTACACTTCTTCCAAGATGCGCCACGTGTCAAAAGTCATGAGCAAGCTCCGCCCCCTCCACCGCCGCCTGTAGGCGTTCCACCACCATCTGGAGACTTTTCAATAGATAAAGAAGCACGGAAACGGTTGCCAGCGTGGATTCTGGAAGGGTTGGAAAAGGCAGAAAGAGAGAAACAGAGACAGGCAGAGAAAGAGGAGAAATTGAGAAAAGCTGAGGAGGAAAAGGCTAGAAGACGTGCGGAAGCGGGAAAATCAAAGTTTGATTCGTCGTCGGATGAGGAGGAGAATGGAGAAGACGCTGAGGAGAGGAATGGGAATTCTAGAAAATTCCAGGAGGAAATTCCAGATGAAAGAGAAGAGGATTCAGAAGATGATTCTGAGGAGAGAAGAGAGCAATTTGTAAGCTAGATTTCTAGCCAAAAATCATTGGAAACGAGCGAAAACTCGCTGATTTACAGCGTTTTTAAATTTTACTGAGACTTAGACTACAAACTACAAACATTTCCTAAGCCTCAGTAAAATTGCAAATAGCTTCAAAATGACTCAAAAATGCTAGTGTTTTCGCATTTTTTCTCAATTTTAAGGATCATTTACGATTTTTAAAGCTAGACTACAAACTACAAAATCTTGTAAGCCTCAGTAAACTTCAAAACCGTTGTAATTCGTTCAGTTTTCGCTCGTTTTTGCCGATTTTTGGTTACTACAAACTACAAAAAAGGGCGACAATGACTGAAATCATTTCCAGATGCGCTGTGTAAAATCGCTCATGATGAACGTGCTTCTGGAGACGTCGAACGACACAATTATGCGGATAATTCAGGAGGAGATTCGAGATTTTCGGAATAAAGAGCGAAAAATTCAAAAACCGGCGGCGCCAAAAATCATTGGAAACAGCTCAGCACTGGCGGCTCTCGCGGCTTTTGGTTTGGGATTTTTTTTTTCTGAAATTTTAGAATTTCCTGAAAATCAAATTTTCTGAAAAAAAAGCTGATTTTTTTGATAATTCAGAATTTTTCAAAATTTTTAAAGGGGGGACTCCGACCAAACATTTTTATTGCATTAAAATGTGTTAAAAGTTATCTATTTTCCTGAATATTATTGCGAAAAAATTCAAAGAAAATCCGAAATCTCCGAAAAAACGCCGTTGAAAAGGAAGAAAATTCAAAAAAAAGGTGCCGCCGGGGGACGAGGATTTT